TTTTTGTGGTAAAGGCGATTGCTCTGATTGAAATGTTTCTATCAGTATTTTAAATTCCATGTTTCACCTTTCGTTGTAACATAAATCGATGAGCTACGGGGTTGGGGGCACATGCCTCCGATTGAAAAAGAGGGGCAATTAGAGACTGGACAAAATAGAAAAGTAGAGAAAAAATGAGGGGAATAGCATTTGAAAAGACGATTCACCCGCCTCCAACAACCCTTAGTACTTTCATGGTACTTTAATTGTCACTTTACCCACCAAGTCAGACCATTGCCCCCGCCCCTACATGATTCTGGTGCCCCTTCGATACCTCACTTCACCACTGGGACCTATGTGTCTGGAATAGAATCAATCACACCATTGTCTGCCTGCGAATATCCTATAGGACCAGTAAAAGATTTTTTTTAAAGACAGTATAGCATGCTTGTGAGTGAACCTCATCATTACTTCCTAAACAAAAAGAAAAACATCATTTTATGTAAAACAATTCTATCGAAGTATACTTTGCGCAGGTTAGCGTTGGTTAGGAAACTTGTTGATATAAAATGACGAAGCATGTAGTTGATTCATGATATTCGTATACAATATATCAGTATAAATTTGGTTTAGCCAGGTTAGTCATAACTTTTAATCAAGATTCAGATAGATTAGTTTGGATATGAACACACACTCTGGTAAAAAATGACGATCGGAAGCATCTAGTTGGCATCCTAACATTCAGACTATCTGCCTTGTCATAACATTGAAGTGTTGTTATCATTTTTTAGTGTTAGCAAGTGATAGTACATAAAGTACCATGACACCTCGAAGTTAAACAAACCTTCTTATAGATTAAAAACGTGTGTACTAATTTTCAACAGACGAGTATATTTTTTACTCGTAAATGTTTTGTAATTTAAATCTTCTTGTGTTACGTATTTCACGTAAAAATGAACTTCCAAAGTGCATGAAATCATGATGATATTTATATTGATGATACGTATTAATTTGTTAAGTATTCTTTTATTTTAAATGGTGCTTGAAACTCTGTAGTGTACTTCAAACATGTTAACAGGAATGATAGTATTTAAAATTATGTAAAAAACGTTGTTCGTTTTCTTATTTGGTAAGTGTTTCTGTTCGTTACCATTGTTTTTTTTTTTGCGTTATGATCCCAAATATTGAAAAGTAATATTAGGCTAAAGATAAACTAACAACATTCCTCACTTATTTGAAATCTTTATAAAACAGTGAGGAATATCTATAGTACATCATAAAGGGTTACAATGGTACCGAAATAATGCCCAAATGCGCTAATGAATTATTAAATTACAATATCACTTTGTTAAATCATCAAAATCATCACATTATGTAAAATGCAGTGGTGCATCCTATATGAAATTATGATAAACTCGGGTGAACTCTTTTATGGACGGGCAAGGGCTGAGGCCTATTTTGAATTACTAGACCTTTAAAAAGGGATGAGTCGGTTCCATCCAATACTGGATAAGCCACTTGTCTTTAGAGAGAGTGGGGTCAATCTTTGTTTAATTCCCTAAAGAAGAATCTCATCCTTTCACCATCCCAGTAATAACCATTCATCATTGAATGTCACGGGTCAAGTGAGATATATAATTAACACTATATCTAATTGACACACTTCAGTAACCATGGCAATTAATGGCTCTTCAGTCAAGCGATACGATGTGTTAAGATTATGAGCATAAATCCATCGCTAACGACGTTGACCCATCTAAGGGCGCGTTCATGCTTGATTTTGACGGCCAGAATCAGGCATCTGTTACGCGTTTAGTTTAAAACACGGTTGCGTCTTAGCTCACTTTTGTAGAATCACCGAAAAACGGCGATCACGATCGCCGATCGTAAACTCACAAAAAGATGCGTTTACAATTTGTAAACGCGTTTAAATGGGGTCAACGCACTGACCTCTAGTGGGTCTACGTAGCATGCACAGTGAAGGTTTGCGAATCCAGCTGGAAGACCAATTAAGGCCACACACGGAGAATTGCCTGGGGAGCCAGAGAAGTAAGCATGAACACTACATCGTGGAACTGCGATCACGATGAGCGTTTACGATGAGCGTTTCAGATCGCTCATTCTGCCTTCAAAATTTAAGCATGAACGCAGCCTAAGTAGCCATGCGACGTCTAAGGGTTTACAAGATGGCAGTGGTTATTTCAATTACACCCTAAACAAATATACCAGTGTGGTCAGTCTGAATGTGCTCGAGTCCCACTGTCAAACCGATTCTAGACCGACCAATATTATTCTTCGCCATTTATAGACCGTTCAGTCTCTGAAATAGATGGTTATTCCAATGAGACTACGTCAGGCTCCACTTGCCGACTCTATTGACAAAATGTCAGTTTTATTAAAATAATTCCCCAACCAGACGGTTATTTCTGTCGAGGCCATTTGTAACAATGTAATATTTTGTTTCGGTCTAGTGACGGTCTGGTGTCGGTCTTGTTGGCGTGACTGAGGTATTTTACCCGGACCAATAGTATGTCGTTATTCTGTATAGGCTTTAAACCCCAGTCATAATCGCCAAAACACCAGGCATACCGACAAACCGACCGGAATTTTGTCCATTATTTTGTTTGATCTGGTGTCGGTCTGCTGATGTCGGTAGTGCAACTAGGTCACCTACCAGACATAGAAAGGTAGTTTGCAATGTATTGGGCCTACTATGCATACAGTGGTTTGTCAATGGAAATACCTGGAAAAGACTGATTGAATAAGGTATACACATAACCCATATGATGATGTCGACAAGATTCGTTGGTTACTGTTCAGAATTCACGTTGAATCAAAGTTTGAGCTATCATGAGGCTCGAATGAAGACAATGTAGTCTCCACTTGATGATGTTTATTCAAAGGTTTGATTTTGATTATCTTTTCTTCCAGTCGGAACAAAGTTTTACTGCAAAGTACGTGTGAGTATTAAAGGTTAATGGGTGTGTAATAAAGCAAATACTGTGGAGTACTCTTCTGTTTCACTCCCAGTATTGCTGCCGTTTCGTAGGATACACACTAAGAATAAACAGATATTAGCGCGGAATATTGACACTCTTAAGCTAATGTTTGAGGTATAGGATAGACTCTTTGTTCAAGTGCCCTCAATGAAATGCATTTCAGATGAGTGTACAACGAGATACAATCCTGTATTAAGTTCCATTGATACAATTTGCAAGTGTGCTTATAGGCCTTGTATACGTTGTCTTGAGAAGAAGAGCCCTATAATACCCCAAGCCACACCAGCTCAAGAGCGATAATTAGACTTATAGACATGAAGAAGAAGATAAGTTACCCGCAAGGCCACAATTCGTTTGATTTGGGGGCAGCTTCGAGTCGGTTCAATGGTGTACCTGGGTACCGAAGCAAGTTTTATTATTCCTAATGGGAAGTAGTCATCCGGGTTACGGTTGATAAGTTTATCGACCGCTTAATACTTCCATAGGCAGTAATTGACGCTAAATATTCAATTCAGCATTATTTTCATGTGATAAAGTGTATCACTACACAATTTACAAGATTCGGATAATTTAAATATACATAACACCATGGGCATTTTATCCGATTTGGCGACGAACTTCATTTGAATAGGCCTACAGACTGAAGAAGAACAAAAATAACCCGCAAGGCCAAGGTTGTTTATGTTTTCTTTCTTTCTTTTGGTCAATTTAGAGTCGGTTAAATGGTGTAGCTGGGTATGTGTTTAACTACAGGGCGCCCTCACTATGAACATGACGGACAAAGAAAGCGGACAAAATATACAGTTCCTCAGGTGGACAAAGGAACATCCCTTCACTGCTATTATGTAAAAATGTGTAGAACAGGTGAATATGCATGTGACACCTGTTCTACACATTTTTACATAATAGCGGTGAAGGGATGTTCCTTTATCTACCTGATGAACTGTATATTTTGTCCGCTTTCTTTGTCCGTCATGTTCATAGTGCCTTGTAAGGGCTCTCTTGCAAAGCAGTTATTATGTACTGAAGAGACTACCATATGTTTTTTTTTTTTTTAACCCATTTAATTGATGTGTCATGTATGTTATAGAAATCATTTCTACTTAATCTTAATAACATGTATGATAATCCACTACCAGACTACCAGAGCATGGCATTATGTCCGAAGATGAATTAATACTTCTGATCTAGTGAGTACAATGAGAGTTTATAACAATCGAACTTTTCGTGATCTTTGAGGATAAATTTTGACTTTGTCATCTATCTTCATCCGTTCACCTTCCGCCTGTCCCAGAAGTGTTTCCGATGGTCGATTCGGGGACTGGTGAGAGGTCTACAGTAGTTACCTGGTAATCAGACGTTCCACATATGTTATAACGGTATAATACGAAGGCTTTCTGCTAAATATTTCGCATTCAGTGATTCAGTGGTTGGATGAACATTTTTTTAGAGCTACGTGATATATGTGATAACGGTATGATACCAAGGCTTTCTGCTAAATATTTTGGCATTCAGTGATATTAGGGAGGAACATTTTTTAGGGCTACGTGATATACATAACAACTGAATTATCCACACTCCTTTTACATTTGATGGTATATGTGTATGTAGGGGGCTGGGGATGTTGGGTGGGTGTGGGTGTGTGTGAGTGTGTGTGTTTCGCAGCTCAAGAATGAAATGTGGACCGGTTGACTCAGGGCCTTTGCTGAATACTGTTAGATGTAAGTTTTAATATGTCACATTCTCAAGAACATAAATCAGGACGAATCAATAAATATTTTCACGTACTTGAAAATTCCAAAACTTGTCAGGGTATGAATAATTTAGTTGTCATCTGTACCGCCCTTATCTCGCCCTTCTCACCAAGCCTGAGAGCTGATATTCATAATTCACGACAGACATACTCTTCACCAATTAGGTTGTCACTACCCCATGCACAGGCAATCACTCAACCCAATTCTTTCACGAAAATCATGAAGATGTAATTCAAGATGAATAAATGAGCCAAGAGAACGGAACTGATTATTGTTTTCATCATGTTTATGTCTCTTTCATTTCACGAGGTCGTAATACCATGACACACGACAAAATGTTGAACACTGGAGAATGTGAATCTAAGCGTAAAGAATGACATAAAAAAGCAAAGTATGCTCTACTTAATTTCTCTTTCTTTTACGTTCTCCCTTATTGTCCTTAAGAAATCACCGCCTCCTCGTTTTCTATATCAAATTTTCATTTTGTTAATACAGTAATGTAGTCGTAATAAATATCTCAAGATATGACGGGGAAAAGAGATGTTCAAATCTAAAAGTAAAATATATATTAATCCAATATGTAAAACCTTGTATCGTGATTTGAAAGACGAAAGTAAAAAGTATTAATAATCAATATCACGTTATAAAATGCACACCAACTATGTAGCTTGTGATTCGTTTTACAAAACAAGAGTACAGTGAGAACAATTTGATAATGATATTGGTTAAATAATGTACTTGAAAGTTTTAGCTGACGAAAGATCGGCTCTTAAATCGTAGGCATCGATCAAGGATTACTCTGCAAGAAGCACCAACAACCAAAATATGTTTAAAGTGTGAAAACAATACTCTCCATAAGCTGACGTGACTCTAAATAATCAAGGCTCGAAATGTTTTCTCTGCTTTGATTTACCTTCCTGGTCTAACATATTGAAGGGTTGCTGAACTCGGTCAATGATTGATTATTGAAGGACATTTACTACGTTTTATGGAACTGATACGCAGGATGCCATATTAGCTTTCAAACTAGACCATAAAGATGACATGTCGTTTTTCGAAGGTTCGTTATTCCAAATAGGGTCCTATTCAAAGTTCAGAAGAAGAAAAAAGGGTTCATAATTCCGATAATGAAATAAGAGTCATCATTCTCAAAATGAGTAAGGATTCATATTTCCGAAAATGAAAATTGATTCATAAAGCTGAAGGTTCATTATTCCGAAATTGAAATAGAACCGTGGTCGTTTCCTGAATTACGAACCTTTAAGAAGAAAAAAAAACGCGTAACCCCGATCAAATCGTATACGTGTATATTTCCAAAGATTTCGTCAAAGTTATATAGAAGGCCCGAGTTGGATATATACGAAAACTAAAACATGTTTACACTAGTGATATTAAGGCGTTATTAAACATTTGGAGCGGGTTTATATGAGGAGATAATTATGATATCAGAGGTTTTGTCATCCACATTATATCGACGTCGAATGAAGTAAGAAATAGAAGAGGTTTACATTCTGTATTACTCCAGCGTGTTTGCAATAATAGTATTGTCGTATGGTTTCGTTATACTGTCCGAATAATAAGTGACCTTTAACACACTATTTCATAGACAATGAGGCTTTGAAATATTTCTTTGAAGTTGTATCATGTATTCAACGTATACTACGATATAGATCACGGACAATACAAGAAGGAACTAAGTTGAGTTTATTACTCAATGCAGTTCCTTCTTGCATCGAGCCAGTAACGTAGTAAACTTTGAATGATTAAATTATATACTTGCAATTTTGTTCTTTTAATTTCGTGTGCGTCTAGCAAAATAAAAAGAACCCTTGTTGTTGTAAAAACCGATCCAGATTGTAATCGGAACTTGGACAGCAATAAAACAATAAAACACATTTTGCCCAACCCCTACCGCCCCCAGATTTTAATTAATAAAAATCATGACAATTTGTTAACGTTGCACTGAAAGCTCTGAAAGCGAAAGACACATTTATCGATCAGCATTTAATCAAGATTAGCTCCTCATGCACACTGTGTGTTTAGGAAAGAATAAAAAGCATGAAAATAATAACACATTTGAGAACAACTATTATGTTGATTACCAAGAATTCACTATTCCTTTTTATACTGCACACGAAATATTGGGAAGTATTTGGATACTAGGTCATAACACTGTACATAATTAGGTTCATTGCGTTCACTTCATGCAGTAACGACTTTAAGAAAACCAATGTCGAAGAATATTATTATTATTATTATTATTAGCCAGAATACACTGTACTTGTATTACAAATACCATTTGTCAGAGGGAGAAAGAATTCCGGGTTTGTATTTCATTTTTAGAGCAGAAATATCATAAATTTATTGATAGATAGTACTAATGGATAAGTAATGTCGTAATGTTTCTCTTTGTAAGAACTTCATTGCTTTCTATAATTATATGCTTCTGTTTACTGATTTCCCTTTCATGATTTTATGACATATTTACAGCAGCCTAGTACTTCGAATGTGATAAACTCGCTGATCTCCGAAAAGCGGAGGGACAACAACAGAGAGAGATCTTGTTATTTTATAAAGCTATGTAGGCCTATAGATGTATATTATAAAGCGCATTGAAATGTCAACAGACATGAAATGCGCTATTACAGAACAAATTATTTTATTATCATTATTATCATTATCATTATTATAAAATCTCTCTCGAATGTACATTTAAAACAATTTTGGCCATGACATTTTATGATAAAACATAATCTTTTTCACAATTCACAATTTTAAAAAAAGTGTATGGACAAATTTGACAATAATGTATGAGGTTCAAGTATATCCTGTCCGTCGTATCCAAGACACATCCTTTGGTTAAAGGCGGTTGAAACACCTCTACGAAGAAAGATATTACATATTTGTTATTTTGTTCAATAGTACAATTTTTACACCCACATAGTATGAACACACTGTGCATTATGAAACATATTTTACATGATCATGATGTCATACCGTGTCGCTATTGCTAACGACATAATTTGTAGCTCCTACTGGGTATTCGACACTACTGGGTGTCAAGTCTGCAACGCTGGGTGGGAATTCTACAGCACTGGGTCTTTGTGATGTTGACATGGTAGATGATGATCGGTGCATGGCAGGCTTACCTCCGACAACGCATCGGACCATATCCCTCAAGATTCTCTTGAAGGCTCCTCGAAAGTCTCTGCTCCTGTGCGCGTAGATCAACGGGTTCATAAAGGAGTTCATATAGTAGGCCATCGTCGGCCCTATCGCAAGGTTGGGGTCGTAGCTTGATCCGTTGGTGTCGACGAACAACGCGATACAGATCGGTAGCCAGCAAATGGCGAAGGCAAGAACCACGAAGGCTAAGGTCTTTGTAGCTCTTATCTGCTTCGCTCGAGAGTTTTGAACTGATGCTGCTTTATGACTACTCCTCATCATCGACGACATCCTCGTCCGGAGCTTATGAGCCTGATAGAACACGTACCCGTAGATGATCGACGTGACCAACATCGCCACCGCGATCATCGATGACGGTATGTAATTCCAGAATATTTCGAATGCAAATTGGTTCACTTCGATTTTGTTGATTTCGACGAGGTGGTAAAGAATGACGACGGTGAACATGTAGGGTATGATCACCAGCATGGTTATTACCGAACTCTTCCTCGCTCTCCTTCTCGTTATGAGTGACTGGTATTTCAAGGGTTTTTTCACAGAGACATAGCGATCGATGGATATTAAAACAAGATGAACAACCGAGCATGCACAGCACGTTCTTGCGATAAAACGAAAATAAAGAACGACGATCTGGTCGCAGTAATTTACAAACCAAAAATAGGCAGCCGGTATGGAGAGGATTCCATTGGTGAGATCAGAGACGGCCAACCCAACGACAAGGACGTTGGTCGGAGTTTTGAGTCTTTTCTCTCGGTGAACGGCGGCCATGACCAGCAGGTTCCCCGGTACTGCTAGCATTGTGATCAGTATAAAAGGTATCAAAAATAACAACCTCAATGGTTGAAAGTCACATTCAAGTCGTGTTACATTGTTTTCTGCTATGGTTATTCCATCCATAACGTGTACAGTCGTCATAACTTCCATGATTGCTAAACACCTTGCGTCCTTGCAATGCAATGAGCACAACAACAAAAATCCAAACCTTCCCCACTTGGGATTCACTTTTCCGGTCGGATGTCTCTGCGGGTAAACATGGTGGTGTCAAAATATTAGACTGCAGTTCTTTAGACAACCGTCATGTATCGACTTATTAAGTCTTAGCAGGCCTCTACGCAATAAACATGACGTCCGAGACTAGTGTATGAATACAAATCGAAACTTACAGATCGATAGCAAACACTCATAAACGTCTGGACTATAGTGCCACTCCCGGCTGCTCACAAAAAGAAATTACTGGTTCCTGATCAAACTCCAGAGTCATTTATCCTGCATGTTTGATACGATTTTTGATTTATCGTTGATAAATGGCCGATTGAAACTCATACTAGTACTAGCAGAGATTTAACAGTCTTGTGCATGATGCAAACGTAATATCTTCGTGAGAAAAGTTTTTGAAATAAGAGGGCGATCCTACACCACGCACTGGCATACAGTAGTATGGTACTCTATTCCAGCTACTGGTCGCGTTTAGCTCCTCCCGTTCGCCCGAATGGTGAATGAACACCGTACCCGCAAGTTGTTATACATGCTCTCCCACCTACTCTCAATAGCGTGACGTCATAATAGTACGTACATCCAATCGTCAATTCGCGTTTCAATATGTATGGCTTAAACCCACTCAATCGTGTCAAGCTTTCTCAAAAGCTTCATTTTTATGGTTTTGAGATTATTATTATTGCTCGCTTGTTTCTGGAACCCGAATTCGACCCCCACACCGCACTTTTGTTCATATTCGTGCAAAGGATCTCATTTAGTATGTGAAGTGTATGGCTGTTGGCTTGCATTATTCGAGTAGGGCCTATTATACTCAACGTTTGGATATGTTTGGGTTGTTTCACGGTTGGTGACTATCTAGTTGGGTAAACCAGCAATGCAAGCAGTTCTCGGTCATTAAATCCGGTATAATCGACGATTTTCTAAAGTCCTTTACCGACATGACAAATACAAACTTCTGAATAGCATTCGATGCAGTGGAATGGAATGGGGTGAATAATAAAACACTTATGCCAAGCAGGTGAAACCTCTTTGAAATATATACCACAATGATATTGAGAAATTATTGTCACTTTTTAAACTATTTTTGTCATTAATATCATTAATACAGTATCATTATATAATATCGTTATTATTAGTAATAGTAGTAGAAGTAGTAGTATTAAAAGTAGTAATAATAGTAGTAGTAGTAGTAGTAGTGGTGGCGGTAATAGTAGTAGTAGTAGTAGTAGTAGTAGTAGTAGTGGTGGTGGTGGTGGTGGTGGTGGTAGTAGTAGTAGTAGTAGTAGTAGTAGTAGTAGTAGTAGTAGTAGTATTTGTTGTTGTTGAATCATCACTAACGTTATTATAATAATAATTATTATTATTATTTTGTTTTATTTTTATTGTTTGTATTCATATATTTTACTCCAGGAGAACAATAATCTGTTCCTGCGCCTCAGTCAGACCATGGAGTTACTAGCTAGTAGCTCCATGGTCTGACAGTCCTTGGTCGACCCAGGAAGTTGTGGTCGATCCCAGTTTTTGTGTGATTCTATCTCCAGTCTATCTAGGGTTACACGGAAAATGTATCACACGAACGGGTATGATATTACATATTATATGCCGTATTTCTTTATCTATGTTATGGATGCTAAGTTATGATTGATATGGAGACGTGTAAATATTCACAATCAGGTTCACAATAGAGAGAAGGGCCTAGAACCTTCTCATTGCAGCTTAGAAAAGCTTGAATTGCTCGAATTGCTCACGCACTCGTGTATGTCGATTTAAAGGTGATGTTTACAATGATCTTAAACGTAATAAAATTCGGCTGAAAAAACAGACACAATCATAAAACTATATAGAGCTCCACTGCACTCTCTCTCTCTCTCTCTCTCTCTACCCCATTCCTGCCCCTCTTCTCTCTCTCGCATTCTCCTCCTCCTCCTCTCTCTTTCTCTCTCTCTCTCTCTACCCCATTCCTGCCCCTCTTCTCTCTCTCGCTCTCTCCTCTCTCTCTCTCTCTCTCATATCGCTCCTCTCGCTCCTCTCCCCTCTCCCTTTCTATCTATCTGTGTATCCATATATCTCTTTCTCCTCTCTGTTTATATCTCTCTTCCTCCCCTCTTTATCTCTCGTCCCCTTTCTATCTTCTACTCTCTTGTTTTTCTGTCTAGGGTATTTTTCTACTCGTCAATTAAGAATGATAACCAATTAATTCTTAGCCATCTTGAATACAGATTATTCATTGATGAATAGGTTCAAATATGACCAAAAAAATATGACAAAACACAACAACAAATTTATTACAGTGAGCAGACCTGATTATGCTTACAGCCTTTGTTTAACGATAGTCACCGGCATGACAGAATAAGGACATTCGTAAAAATCAAATTAAAGTGTCGTCCCTTCATTCCCTTTAATATTCTTATCAAAGATTTAATAGTGTGACTCTAGTCCGCCATGTGAGAAATAGAAGTTAAAGTGGATCCTTTGAATGCTCAATAAATGTAGCACCCCTGAAAAATAATAGTTTTAAAACTTATCAATTTTTCACTCAGATTTATCTTAATCAACCCAGTTTACATTTTATGTTCCGTTCAGATATGAGGAAATTAATTTTTATGTCGTATTATGTTGAGTATATAGTATACGACATTCATGATACGTCTGATAAGAAATGTTATTAGCAAGAATGTATCTTTAGGTATGGGTATCTTTGTATACTACTTATAGAACAGTAACTAATTGTTACACCTATCAACTATGTACTCACGTTTAGCCTCTGCAATATGATAAGATAATGGATTTAGTCGTTCTTTGAGTGAGCCGACATTTGTTGCTAATGCTTAGGAGCTTTGATTTGATATAGGGTTATATTAAGCTTGAGATGCGATTGGACGATTTAAGTTAAGTTAATTTTAGGATATGGTATATTTTTTTATAAATACAGCTAAAAATGCAATTGATGTCACAATTACCCCGTAAACCCGTGGCTGAAGCTTAAATGTTTTACAATCGCCCTGTGAAGAAAATATAGTTATGCTTACAATCGCTCTATGGGCATTGAATTGGTCTGACTCTTTAACCCAGGGTAGTATAGCCAAAGCCACACCACTCTTTCCCCACGGGTCCTGTAATTATTATTACCCCAGCATTACCAGTAACCCATTTAATACACCCGGGGTGAGATCAAGCGTGGATAATTAGCACCGGGGAAAGGATCGAACTTGGGATATAAACGAACAATGAATAATATATATCACCTGTAAAGTTATGATGTAATTCAATTCATCTAAATAATTGTGAAGTCCATTTTGTTTGCTGTTGGTTTTCTCACATGATGTATAATCCTTAAAAAGCAAATGAACGGCAGCTATGAACTGTCTCGTCAATTTTTGTCTGACACTTTAGTTGAAAAAAGGAAAACCGTGGACAAAATGATAACTTAATAATGTAATAATGTACCTTGGTCATGTTGGGTTAATTATGTGGCGTACATTTAATCAGGTTATTCACTTTATTTTCTTTTTGAAATTAACATATCATTTTCACCACCTTTCTGTGAGAGTTCACTTGTAAAAGGAAGCAAAACCTTCAGTTGAAAAGGGCAATGGGGTGCATACTGATCACTGATACGAACATGCAATTTCAATTACCGCTCTACGGTCTAATGAATTAAGTAATCCATCTTATTATCTGTTAAATTATACGTTCGTTTGCACTGAGAGGCACACATTGACTAAATGGGGGTATGGTGTTAAACTCAGACCCTGATACCATAGCTCGTATATACAGGGGCTCAGTGCGAAAAATAAAGGGACCCCATTCCGCTAATTCATTTGATAACTAATCGCGTCCGTTTTAACCGCTTTCGCTTTCAGTAATTCGTCATCATCTCCATACAGTGCCGGAAAGTTATTTGATGGTCCCTTTCAGAACTATTAGTGGTTTTAAAATGCTCGATGTAAGAACAAACGATGTAATTACAGTATTATAGTTTGAAACAGAGTAATTTGGCAGTATACGCAAATTATAAATGCCGAGCTTTTGTCGTACACCAGTGACGTACTGCACAATTAAGGTCTCTAAATGCAGCATTCGTTGACTTTTGTAATATTTACCTCTTCAGATAATAAGGGTAATTACATGGTACCCTGATTAGAAAATGGGACAAATAATTATCCTGAAAAGTGAGTACACGTATTTGGTTTAATGTTAAGAATCGTGATTCATAAGATAAAAATCTGCATTCGGCGTATGAGGTGAAGCTGGCTCATAGTATAGAATTTGCGGGTGATTTGTGTAGCCTTCGAACAGGAGAAGAAATCGAGATTAATTGAAAATAAGAATTATAGTAACTGTTAGTGTAAATTTATTTTTTTGTTCGTGTTGAAATGGTAAGGAAGATTGACGAAGTTGTGAAGATAAAAATAAATTCTCATGGTACTGCATATCAACGAGGAGTACGACCACAATGATATAAGATATACCTTTATCGCAAAACAGTGTCGTGTACGATGAAGAGAACCAGTACATTTCGTATGTTTTCACAACCACTCAACAAATCACTACTACCTTGAGATCCAGTGTCAAGACATTGAGTTAAAAAAGGAGATATCTACCAGGATATTGTGTCAAGTTAAATATTTTCTTGGATATGAAATCATAAATCATCAACCCGGATTCGTGTCTTAGTCTTAGGAAAGACAAAGAGTATTCGTTTAATATTACCCAATGTTGACGTTTTGAGCGGATTTAATGACTCGAAGCGTGCCCATATGGTTTCGCACCTCGTCGGAGATACCTAGCAACCTGTGTATCTAGTTACATTTTCCTTCGAATTTTCCAAAAATACTCTCGAATTTTCTAAGACCCTCAATCAATCACGTGGATTGGGCTATTTATGCTAATATGCTTCGTGTTGGTTAAGGTTTTTAGAAGGAGCCAATAATCATTATTCCTATGACGGAATGATATACACCATCCCAACCTACCCCCGAAACCATGAAATAAATCAAATCAAGTAATAACAAAATCAATTTATTAAAAAAAAAAGATTTAGTACCTGTAGTAACAAATACAGGAAACAGGGGGGGGGGATACCCGAGCTTGCCTATTTCAGTTAGATTATTGCAAGAAAGTCACTGACCTACACGCCCTCAAAACTACTTCAGTAATCAATAAGCATTTATTTCTTTTAAAAAACCGCAGAGGAGGAAGATGACTTCCTTTATAAGAGAAGTTTAAAATATATTTACATTACCCCCCCCCCCCCCCCGCCCTTAATGTACAAGCACGCTCACCCGGCAAACTATGTCTTCGATGTATTTTGTATAATGCATTCCGAAAACATGCAATGAGAGACATTGAGAGTCCGAGGGCGATGGCCTGTGTTGTCCTGCGATACTCCGGTCACACCAATGATAATCGACACCATACCGAACAAAAATGGCGTACTGTTTTGGATGAATAAGAAAATGGACGAATTTAGTTTTGACTTGTAACTGATTTAAACTTCTGAAT